TTCGAATCAGCATTGAAACTGCGTGCCTGAACGTTACGTGTTGATAAATTGAGAGTATAAACAGGTTAAACAAACAACATGTACACAAGCAAAAAAAAAAAAAATCACAAAGGGGGGGGGGGGGGGGGCACCGTGCCGGTGCTGGATCCGCCTTTGAATACATGTACGTACTAGATAGTAGATTTTGATATCCAGAAAGTCATTATTTCAATAACCAGTAAGCATGGTGAGAGCGACATTTTCTACAAATTCCAGCACCGTCGAAACCATTTCACAATAAATACGATGCTTATACACCGTAAATGCATTTATTAAATAAATCATTTTCTATGTTCTATGACACCCTGTTTATATTTTATTTTAATTTTTCCCTCCAGTTGAAACAATTAACAAAAATAAAATCAGCTATATTTTCTACGATCACTACATTACATGTACGAGCCCCGTTCGAGAATATTTCACTTATGCACAGATATCAGTGGATATATATTTATCATTTCTTAGCAAAGATAAAAATCCGTTTTAGTACACAAGTTAGAATTTAAGTTTTGCATGTGCGCGCAGATAGGCAATACATTTTCGGACATTAATACAGGGGCCCGTTTTACAAAAGAACTTACGACTAAGACCAAAAACTTTAGTTGATTGTAAAATTTTGCAAAATTTTTGATTCTGATTACAATTGCTAGCGTAAAAGTATCTTTCTACATACTTGTTAAAAAGATTAAAACCATTTTCTATTTAATGTAAATTAGAAAGTTATTAGCAGAATTAAATTTTGGTCTAAGTCTTAAGTTCTTTTGTAAAACGGGCCCCAGCTGAAGCATAACAAGCAAACGATGTGATTCTTGACAATCAAAGGGAAACAGTTTTTTATCCTCTGCCATTCGTTCCTTCTATCCTTCTATATTATGTTTCTATATACAATTCATATAGGTCTGTCGATCTACAGTCGTTACAGTAATATTAAGAATATAAATTAAGAGGAGCAATTGGACACGACTCCCCCTCCCCCCATCCGATATCATCACTCAAGTAGTAATTTATACCCCCCCCCCCAAGTTTATTGTTTTCTTCTCTTTCTTTTTTTACATTATGTAAATATTACATCAAACCTTTATTTAATCGCTATTAAGTACATAAAATGCAATATATTACCCTTTTTTGACCATCTCCGACTCGAGAAATGATGTGACCAAAATACATTTATGTGACGTATATGGCTTTACGGGTATTTTTTATGGAAGTCTTCAAAAATGCTAACCGAAGTCATTGATAAAACATTTATGACAATCTAGATTATGTTCGGAACTGATCTACATTGCACATATTTTATACTGAGAGGCGCATTGTTAAATCTATTGTGATATTTTGCCAATTCAGGCCCGTAGGAAGCAATTTCATTTGGGGGGGGGGGGGGCACAGCCAAACATTTTTCAGTTGACAGTTGAGGGGATACGAAAGCCTAGAAGGGTCAAATAAGAAAACTTAAAAAAATATTAAAAAGTCGTAATAACGAGATAAAAAGTCGTTATTACGACTTAAGAAAGTCGTAATAACGAGATAAAAAGTCGTTATTACGAGGTACAAAGTCGTAATTACGACTTTAAAAAGTCGTAATAACGAGATAAAAAGTCGCTATTACGACTTAGGAAAGTCGTAATAACGAGATAAAAAGTCGTAATTACGACTTAAGAAAGTCGTAATAACGAGATAAAAAGTCGTTATTACGACTTAGGAAAGTCGTAATAACGAGATAAAAAGTCGTAATTACGACTTAAGAAAGTCGTAATAACGAGATAAAAAGTCGTTATTACTTAAGAAAGTCCTTATTACGAGATAAAAAGTCGTTATTACCAGATAAAAAGTCGTAATTACGACTTAAGAAAGTCGACTTTTTATCTTGTAATAACGACTTTCTTAAGTTGTAATAACGACTTTCTTAAGTCGTAATAACGACTTTATATCTCGTTATTACGTAGCTGCAGAACTGTAGCGTTATGGTTTTATATATTAGTCTTTGACCATAACGCTACAGATCCCGTTATGCAAATATAGTGCAATTTACGGCGCAAGATTTTCTGCGCTCGGTTGAGGATATATATCTCCACTTTCCAGCATTGATCATTCAGCTACCATTTATTCCCTAATTCTAGACATATTCTTTTACCAACCTGTATATTTTATCCACCTCTTAACCCTTTATAATCGTTTCTACAGACCGATGAACTCGATTGTTTTGAATTTTCTGCCATCCGACAGCCATGTTGACCTACTAACGAGATCTCGCTAAAAGGTCACGTGATATATGAAATATAGCACACACGTGTTGATAACGTAAACAAACCGCGGTTCCTCGATTTTCTATCGATTTCGTACAAAATAAAGATTGACAACATTTCTTTTTGACTTTCTCTTATTTTTTAAACACCATAGAATGATTTCACATAGAAAACACAAGCACTTTCATTTATTTTTCTGGCAAAATATACATTGAAAAGTTCATAACATTAGTAGACTGACACACATTACATTACATGACGTAGGGCGCGTAAAATTGACACAGAGACTGTGACAAGATGGATGCTCTCTGTATCAACTGTGAAAGGCCTTTTGAAAGGAGGGAAAGAGGGTATAAAAGAAAATTAGTAGGCAATCTCCCCATCCCCTTGATAAAACTGAATGATTTATTATCCAAGAAAATTGTGCTGCCTATCACCCCTTCTAAAAAAATACATCTGTGACAGCTGTGCTTCTCTGACTGTGAAAATTTACAAACATTCTCAATCAAAAGTGTCATGTGCACCAAACTCAATAGCATTCCTAAAGAGAAAGTTCAATTTCACGCCAATGAAAAGCCCGAAAAAGAAATGTCTTGAACTTTCTCCTAGGATTAAGCATTTTTGTCCAATTTCCTCCACCCCTATCAAAGCAAAGCCCAAACCTTTTCAGTCAACCAGTGAAACATTCACTTTACGAAAGCATGGTTTTAAAGACATTGTAATTGGCAAGATAAAAGAATCGCGTTACTACCATGTTTTTCAATTATTAATCAAGAAAAGCAAGTGTGCTCACAATGCCTTCATAAAAGTACTGAAGAAGAGTGTCACTAAAGAAGTGAAGAATGCAGTCATCCCTTCCTTCCGAGAACCAACAACCCTCTCCTCCTTATCAGCTTTCAAGTGGGAGACTGCTTTGCAGGAACTACAGACCCAAATGCCAGTACTTACAAGTGTGCTCCAGAGTGCAATGCCATTGAAAAACAAGAAATCAGCTTACATGTATGTTTCAATTTATGCTTAAAAATATCAAATAATGTAATTGAAATAGAATGATTGTAAATTTGATATGTGTATCTATAAGTGCATATTTATCGATAAAAAGATTTGTTAGCTTGCTTAGTATGTGGGTAAAAATCTTTTAACAAGGGCACTGCCCAGTGGAGCATCTCTTTGTGATGAACAAATTTTAAGCTTGTAATATTCAAACACAATTGATTCACCAACACACACACACTAGCAGTGTTATTTACCCTTCACAACTAATTGCACAAGGGAATAAATAAAAATAATGCCAAAAAGCAGGGCACAGACAAGCAGAGCATCGCCTCATGACAGACATTAATTTTAAGTTTATAACACTCAATCATATACACAAATATCCTGTAGTTGCACAATGAGATGACAATAATAATTGAGATGACAATAATCATGAATTAATAAAAAAAAATACAGTTAATACTTGTTTACTTGCACAGTATCCTACATATCCTTCTTGATTTTCAAAATATAATGTATTCCAGAGCAAAGAATGGCAAAGTAGGGTTCCTTGTTCCTAATGTGGGTTTCATTTCTGGAACAATTTTGCACCTTAGAAGTCCAAAGAACAGTTTTCTACAGACCTTAACATCTGTGGAAATGTATCGGTCTGGCTGCAACCAAAAGGTAAAATATACCAGTTTAAAGTTAAAATGAAAATGGATGAAAGTAACTTCATCATATCTTTGGACATATACTAGGTCTTACAACTCAGATGTTCATCAAAGTATGGCATCTACATTAAGGGTTAATGCTAATTAATAATTGTATTGTCTGTATGTCTGTATTTCAGCTGTTTAGATGGTTTCAAAAGTTGGGATGGTGTAAGGGAGTCAAAGGTACACGTGCGGCTGTTGACAAACTGTGCTCTGAATATGATGCCGAAATAATGAAGTGGAAGAATGAAATTCAGGTAATTAAGGAGATATATTTTGAATTATGCTATAAAACTCAAGCGTAAATAAAACATGACATAATAAGTACTTTTTGAGGCAAAAAAGTACATAGTGCTGTTACTGGTAAATATTTATCAAAGTAATTCTTTTATGTGTAAACCCTAGGAGGAATTAGGACGGCCTGTAGATGACCAAGAGGACAGAGCTGCTGTAAAATCTGATGAATCAGATAGATCAGAGGCAGATGACTCTAGTTCCTACATCTCTTCCAGCTCTGATGAACATGATGAGGTCAGCACTGAGGAGGATGAATTGGAAGCAATTCCTCTCCCATCAGATTTAGAGGACTCCAGCTTCCAAAATGATTCAGTTCATCATGAAGATCAAAGTAACTGAAATCATTAATTTATCATGATGTATAAGTATTCAAATTGAGTGAGCTTATTCATGTCATTATTGTTCTACAATATGATAGTTGTGTCATGTACTTTTAAGTAGATCCAGGATACAGTGTATGTTGCGACAATGTTCAAAAACTTAGTGTCAGTCGTCACTTCTTGCGACAAGACAATAAGATGATGTTGTGGGCCCTTTGCTTTGCTGTAAAAAACAGAATATCTTTCCGAGACCTTGATGAAGATGATGTTTGTTCAGTAAGAGATATAGGCATAGAGGTATATAGCATATTATATAGTCTTTTAACATGACTGGTTTTCGTTAATTATTGTAATTGATAACAGTTAGTATTTTCAATGTCAATTGCTGTTTCAGAATTACCTACCATCTGCCCTTGATTGGCAACATCTAAAGCAAAGGATGGAATATGTGGTCCAAACTATGGTGAAGCGCAACTTTCAACAATTCTGTGAAGTGGAACTCCCTCCACACAGCCATGAATACTCCGACATTGCAGCTAGAAAGTCACAGATTGCAAGTTTACTTTATGTCGTAATGTTAACATAAATTGATCTGTACATGAATGTACTTCTGTGATAATTAAATCATAGTGCATTTCAATATAAATCTTACAGGTAAACCTAGGTGTTATTCAGGAAAACCCCTCCTCTGCCAAAGGAACTCTTGAGATAATGAAGTACCTGCACAAGTATCTTCCAGTTTATCAGGATGCAAAGCCGTATCCTATCCTTTGCCATGGGGACCAACTCAGTGTGGAGAGGATGGTGGATGCCAAACTCTCTATGGCTTTCAGTGAGGATGAGACGGACCAACTGAAGGGCCTCATTCCTCGTCCCCAAGGCTTTCACAAGAGGTGCATTGTACTGCAGGACTCCATGAACTGTCTCTTTAGTGGAAGCACAGTAGGGGACAAAGGATCCTTGTTCCAGATAAAAAACAAGTTTGGGTTTCGAACTGTAAAGAAAAAAATATCGGACTGTATAAATTCATCTGTAGATTTCTTCAACTTTGTGACTGAGGCAAGTGTTTGTCTCATTGTGTGCAACATACTCAATATAGACAACATAGATGAGATATGTCAAACCATTCCTACAGATAAAGTAGCAGTTCAAAATCTGTTTATGAACATTTGTGAACAAGTCATCAACCTGGTTTGGCCTCATATTGACATGCAGTCCATCCAACAGGCAATAAGAGGAGATGACAATCAGCTCGACCAGGAGTCCACCTCAGATTCTGAAGATCCTAGGTTTCTGGATGACACAATCCTCTACTGGAATGATGACTATGACTCCTCCCTTGATGAGACTTTGCCTTACTATGAAGAAAATGAAGATGATGATTTTGGTAACGAATATGAATATTTTGATATCAATTTAAGAATATGTTAGTTTTCCATTTATATGACATTACATGTATATTTTACTTTTACTAGAAGAGGACCTTACAGGGGCAGAACAAGAGAGCCAAGATTCTGTGTTTAATTACAACCGGTGTATGGTTTGGCGGGGTCTCCTTCATATGGTGCAGACATCAGCTGAACGTGAAAATGATGATCACCAACTCATCGAAGACTGGAGACTTGACATGGTCCACTTCTGGAATAATAACCACAACAAGTACCTTATTTTGGGTCATCGGTTATTGGCAGGTAACTCCAAATGCAATCAATGAGATTTTGTACAAATTTTAAAAATATATATCATTTTAGTTATTACCATATACTTCAGGAGTAAGTGGGTGGCTTCCATCCAGAATCGGACACGAAATCATATGGAATAGTACAGCTAATCTTGTTGGTGAACCCGGCCACAACATTGCATTAGACCTGGTAAATGAGTTCCTGAACAATGAATTCAAAGGTGAACACAAACTATTTTTGTTTGAAATATTTTTTTTTTAATTTCATATTTAATACTCAATCCTTGTTAAATGGTATGTGAGATACAAGCATAATATTATAAGCATACATTATTATTAGTAGTATTCTTTTAAATAGAATGTTCAATTGCTGTGCTAAATTATGAAACAATCATTTTACAATAAACAATAAAAAAGCAATTATCAAAAATATTTCATTACTGTGTGTTATTATCAATAGAATGAATTTTACCTATTCAGCCAATCTGAAGAACTGCCATGGACAGTACAGTGAGACACAGGTATCAAGATGCAGCAAAATAGTTGGCAGTGTGGGGAAGGCAATAGAGAATATCTTTCAAGAGGTGATCCAAGACTACATCCCCAAAGCTTCATCCACAGACGGTTCCTCTATGTCTAAAATAAAAAAAGTTTGTGGAGGAGTACAGGTCTGAGGACCTCTTTAAAGATATTAATTGACATAGGCACCATCATGGCTTTGATCATTTTGAGCACAAAATTTGTATTACAAGCCCAGAAAAGCTAAATCACAGACTGAAAAAATATGTTAAAGCACTGGAAAATGAAGAATTGTTGTATGAATAGGAACATGTATATGAGTGTTTGAAAATAAGCTATTTATAACCACTTACTTTGTCATTCATTTGTCATTCCTACACGGACAATCTTGATGGCACAAATAACAGCACTTGCACAAAGAACACTTGCATTGTGTGCACTGTAGTGTGCAAACTGGTTGTAATGTGCCTTTATGGCCAATAAAATGAGATAAGATAGCATGCCGAAAACACTTGGATTCCTTCTTCTCTACTGATCTACACAACTCCTTCATATCATCACTTGTGTGCAAAAGTGATCCCGGTGTAATAAAATATAAGGCTTTTGCTTCCCTTCCATCTCGCCCTGCCCTACCCACCTCCTGCCAATAGTCCATAATAGAATAACAAGCACCCCAATGAATTACAATATCAATATCAGGAATGTTTATGCCCATGCCAAAAGCAATGGTACATATGGCAATCCTGATGACACTGTCTGGTTTAGAAATTTCCTGAAGAATATAGTTCAAGTCTTTGGAATTCATCCCAGCATGATAAAGTGCAATATAGCTGTTTTGCTGAGTTTTCTTTTTCTCATGGAAGGCATGCTCTTTCAAATGACCTAATATGTCTCTGTACAGGCAGCCACCTTTACTTAAACTTCTAAAAGAAATTCAACTTAAAACATACAGTTAATTCAAATGTAAATGGCCTACAGTACATGCATATGCATGTATCTTGAAAATCTTGATCTGAAAATGTGTGTATTATAATCAACAAATAATGCTTTGTATGAATTGTGTTACCTAACATATATCAATGTCTTTCTCGTTTTAATTCCCTTTTCCTTCACCTCCTCAAATAGCCAGTGAAGGTCTTTGAAAATGTCACTGGCTCTTTGACACTCAAGGTATATGTTTGGCCTGTAAAAAACTATTATGTGTTATATTTTCATATTTTATAGACATATATATATATATATATATATATATATATATATATATATATATATATATATATATATATATATATATATATATATATATATATATATAACTCTGATTTAAGGACTAGGGAGACCAGACCATTATATATGGCTTAAGGAGACAATATACAGATTTTTTAAATTTGTTTTTTTCTAAAAAGAAATACCAGATCAAAGATCTATAGAACACCAGTTAGTCGACTCTTGCTTTATTTTTTCATAATAAATGCCTCCTAAAAATATATGAAAAAAATGGTCTCCTTAATATTTTATGTTTCTCTCATATGACTTGAGGAGACCAGTGTATATTTTTTATAAATATAACTTGTGGTTTAAGTAGACCATTTTTCTTTCATAGTAATTTCACTTATTATGCATTAATTAACATATTGTTTCCAACCAGAATAGTTGCGGATGGTCATTAGTCAAGGTCAGCAGAAAGATATTTGTGCTAATGTGACTCAACATGATCAGTACAAAACTTTGAATTAAACTAAAGTCATTGCACAAGTGACTTAAATAGAGAGTAGTTGCCCCAGTGGCGCAGTGGTTAGAGTGTCTGCTCTAGAGTAGCGAAGTAAGGAGTTGATCCTTACGTCGCAGGTTCAAATCCCACTGTGGGATAAAGAGACCGGTCCTTCAGATGAGACCATATAAATCGAGGTCCTGTGTCGCAGTAGGTGCTGGCACGAAAAAAATCCCTCGATGCTCAATGGCCGTAAGTGCCGAGTATAGGACAAAATTTGCAGATCTCCACCGGCATGTGGTGGTGTCTCCATATGAGTGAAAAAATCTTGAGAGGAATGTTAAACAACATACAATCAATCAATATATAGAGAGTATAAGCCCAGAGTAGCTTGTTCTGATATCCACATTTAACTCTCAATGCTGTCGCCCACGTGGTGCAGTGGAAAGAGCCTATGCTCTAGAGTCGAGGAGTTAGTTGATCCTTTTGTCACAAGTTTGAATCCCACTGTGGGACGTAGAAACCGGTCCTTCATACAAACAGAGGTTCAGTGTCGCAGTAGATGCTGGCATGAAAAAGATCCCTCACTGCCCATTGGCTCTGAGTGCCGAGCATAGGTCATTTGCAGCTCTCCATCAGCAAGTGTTGGCATCTCCATATGAGTGAAAAATTCTCCAGAGGGACGTTAAACAACAAACAAACTCTCAATGCCCAAAACAGTTTAACCTAAAAGTGAATGCAGACATAGATTATTCTTTAGACCAAGTATAGTATACTCCATATTGTTTTGTTGAGGACACAAAGTTCACAGTGGACATCAAGTAGTTTTTCCTGCTAATTATACCCAGCTTCTTTCAAACCATATAGTCACTGAGTGCATTCGCTTTCCAACTAATTGATGAAGTTCTGACCTTATGCCTATACTTGTTTAAATTCTTTCTGATTTAAGAATACATTTGACCAGTTGAAACCAAGAGTACATGTACTACATAAAATTTCAAGGTTGTGATTAAGATTCAGTAAAAGTTATGCCCCATCCGGTATAGCAATATGTGGATGCCATGTTCAATGTACATATTTGCTATCATTAAACTTGCAGAGACCATGAATCAAAATAATTCAAATGCTTAAAAATCATTTTATTTTTACTGCTAGTCAAAATACAGTCACTCAAGCATATCCTTTGTTAATTTGAAAAAAAAATGATAGTTTAACATTTATTATTAATACCATACCAAAGCACAAGATAGTGCTCTTCTTACATAATCTCATGATTCATGCTGTGATTTGACATATTTAGATGTTTCTCATTTACAGTTCAATATACATGATATACCAGTACAATGTGACACTAACCTAGTATCAGTTAAATGGATCATTATTATTCTGTTTTTAAGAAGTTTGCAGGGTAAAAAGTGAAATAAAATAAATATGTTGATACATTTATTGATTGCACGTGCTAAAAACTTTTATAAAATATCAAACATTGTATCATAACAGCTTTTACAAATTAATTCAATACATTCAAAGGTACAAAAATCAAATTATTTTCATCCACAGTTTTATCATATTCAGTTGAACAACAGCTACATCTATTATATAAAATGTATGGTAGTTGGCACTGACGGTATATATATCCTGAGCAAAGAAAAAACATACCTAATCAAAGAATACAAAGCTCACTTCTATAAATGTTATCTACTAGTAAGGCAAAGTCTCACTCAACAAACACTTTGGTAATGTATATCACCTGGATCCAAAATCTATGCACGTTGGTCTGGGTTAATAACCCTGAAAATGTATGTTACATCCAGCATCAGAAGCAGGATACACCATCTATGTTTACTGATCACCAAAGAGTATATTGTTACTTTAAATGAACCTTCTCTAAAAAAACTGGTCATTAATCCAGAAAATCTAAGTCAAATCAAGGATTGGTACCCTGAAACATTTACATGTACATACATCATCTTTGCAGGTTTGTTCAACATAGAGTTTATAATTACATGAGAATAGGACTGCTCAAAACACTTAATCTTGTGGAGTCCCCCATGTGGCGCAAAGGATAGAGTTTGTAATCTAGAGTCACGAGTAAGGATTTAATCCTTAAGTCTCAGGTTCAAATCCACTGGGGATGTGGGGACCAGTCCTTCAGATTAGACCATATAAACCGAGGTCCCGCCAAGCAGTTGATTTGGGCACAAAAAATATCCCTTACTGCTCAAGGCCCTGAGTGCAAAGTATAGGTCAAATTTTGCAGCTCTCCACCAGCAAGTAGTGGCATCTCCATATGGATGAAAAATTCTTGAGAGGGATGTTAAACAACAAACGAACAAAAACAAAAAAAACACATGAGGAAAATGTAGATCAGGTCAAGCATCTGAAGTAAATCTGTTAATGTGCTTTAATCCATGCAAGTTTGTCCAGGTAGAGCTTAAGAATGAACCTTGCTCCTTAAATTTTAACTGGGATGACAATGCTAGGTATATAGTAAGAACTCATCTAGACTGTCCAGAAAAGCTAAAAAATATTTAGCAATTTCTTACTTGCATGATTTAAAAAAATCTGCAATCTAACATTATTTCAAAAAAAATTTCAACACATTTTCTAATTTTCAACAAATTCAATGCACTATGAGACGATTTAACATTCCTTAACCACATACACTGTACTTAAAGTGCAATATACATGCATTATACTGTATGTTAAATCTTTACAGTTTTCTTCAAGTACTCTAATAGTATATGAAATATGAAGATTACCAACAGTGATCAAGCTTTTAAGTCCATTGAAACAATACATAATTAGAGCAGAGCAAACACTGACCTCTAAAAACACCAGGTGCAATGGAGGAGAAAGCATTTCCTGCCATGTGCTCCTTGACATGATTGGGCAAATGGAAAAATCCGCAAACAGTTCAGTGTAAACAATTTTGATGAAAAACATTAGTCAACATTCAACTTAATGATCGATTGAATTTGCTATAACAATTAATTTACACGTAAGTGTACACACATGTATGCATACTAGATGAATTATTTCACAATATCCAAAATTGGACAATAATAGTTTCTAATCTAGCTAGACAACAGGAAATTTTCATTATTACTTAAATTACATGAAACTATTGAAGTCTGTGAGCTACAAATTATATCTAAAAATTATACACATTTTAACAAGTGTTTACAGTTTAGTGTATTTATTATATACAAATGATGACTTGGTAATTATGACATACGAGTAAAGTCCACAGATTGACTTCCAGATTTCAGCTCAAAGGCTTGAAGATTTTTAGTGGCTCTTTCATCATTTTTTTTTTTCACTGAATATTTTCATTTTTATTTTCAAGACACTGTTTTTGTTGAGGTCTTTTAGCAGTTTGATGCAATCCAAGAACTCCAAGGGCAATTTAAGAACTCATGAATTTCTTTCTTACCTGGAAAAAATAAAAATTTAAAAGTTTAAAATATATTCAACTTACATGAAGAAAACTAGTGATAATAGACCTTTCAGATGTTCCAAAGCAGCTACATGTATCTAATTAAAAAATATAAAGTTTGAAGTATTTAGAGTCACCTGTGTTCTGAACAAGGGATATGTGTATTTGACAGACAGATGAATGAATAGACTGATCACTATAGAGCACCTTAGTCTTTTTTCAATAATCTTTATATTAATGAAAATCAAATAGGAACTAGAGTGTTTCAAGGAATGTATATGTCACCTGCTAGGTATCGTCATTAAAGAGGTAAATAAATCTAAGAGTGGTCAGCTATTAATTTAATATTAGCATGGAGGTTCATGCATTTGCCTGCAAGGAAAAAAAGGATCCAAAAGTAAAAGACTGGGATAGAATCTGGCAATCAAAGAAAATATGGTTCCCCAGTCCTCAAATGAATAATTTAATTGAAATTATGAGGAATAACTATTTATGATTTTATTAATACACATGTAGGTGCTTCCAACAATCCTCGGAGGAAAGGAATTTCAGACTGTCTTTACTTTAATTGTCACTTTGTCAGTCAACACGATTCATTGTGGAATACTGATCCCAATGTATTTTCATAGTATTTAAATATAAGTTTGTGTGGTAACTGAATTTCATACAGTTTCAAAGTATAGTATCATGAGCTCAAAAACATACATAAATGCTAATTATCAAAACCCTGCCTCTCAAAATTTTGGAGATATAAGGTGTGACAGACGGACAGACAGACACCAGGTAAAGTGATCTCTAAGTGTCGTTCTGCTCTGCAGTTGACACAAAAATGAAAGTTAGTCAATTTTTGACCATGTATATCACTTCAGTGATGAAAGGAATGCTGAAGTGGTAAGTCTACTTGTTTTTCTAGGGGGCGCTGTTGCAACCCTGGAAAAGAAAACAGGACTGGGGCTTGCCCCTAGGGGGCACTTACTGACCGGAAGTAAACAAACAACAGAAATAGCAATACACTAGAAATATGTCCATAGGACATGTATGCCCGCCGAGTGTATAGTAATGCAACATGAAATTTTGTGTTAGTATATGAAGTTTGATGAGAATATCTTGAAAAGTTTCTTTAAAATTGAAATTGAACTCTAAAAAAAATGGATGTAGATGATAAATTCTCACCAAATTATGTATAGATGCATAGCCTTAGATATCAATATTTTAAATGGTTTTAAAACCATGCAAAATGCAAATTGAAGGAAAGTGAGGTCAAGGTCACAGGAAAGGTCAAAAGTTTTTGAAATAGTTGAATAGGTCTTACTAATTATATATGTATCAGCATATTAAGTTTGATAAAAAATATCTTGAATGATTTCTTTAAAGCTGAGCTAGTCACAAGCGTGGCGCCATGGTAAGAGCGTCTGCTCTAGAGTCGCGAAGTAAGGAGTTGATCCTTATGTCGCAGGTTTGAATCCCACTGTGGGACATGGAGACCAGTCCTTCGGATGAGACCTTATAAACCAAGGTCCCGTGTCACAGTAGGTGCTGGCATGAAAAAGACCCCTCACTGCTCAATGGCCATGAGTGCAGAGTATAGGACAGAATTTGCAGCTTTCCACTGGCAAGTGGAGGTGTCTCCATATGAGTGTAAAATTCTCGAGAGGGACTGCAGATTACCTGTAATGATTGACCAAAATCCCTACTAGGCTTTAAACTCTTCATTCTTGACCTGTATTTCGTCAAATAAGATTTTTCCAGTTAATTAAGGTAAAATTACTAATTGTTAAAACTGTAAATATTTTTTTTTTTTTTACCTGAGCCAGACTTTTACTTTTCTTAAAAGTGTCTGTATTTGACTGTTGGTTCCACCTATCTCAAGAAAATGATCTGTAAAAGTAAATGTTAGAAATCATAATCTGTTCTCTATCTACTATAATCATGAGAAAAGGTGTTGAAAATTAACAGATGGAGATAAAATCAGCAGTCATATTAAAGGCTTTTTTCAATAATCAATTTATTAGTGAAAATCATAAAAGTATTAGGCAAAAAGGAAAAATAAATGTTGTCATTAATTAACCTTGCATATCTCTACAATTTTCTGATAAGAAAATTATACCTGATAGATGCAATATAATCATCCTTTGCCTGCCCCTAAATTAAATTATGAAATTTTGATAGATTTTGATCTAGTAAGCAATTATTTAAAAAAAGGTTCTTTTAGAGGTGCCTAGGGTCGAAATTCATAGAAAAAAAAAACTACAAAAAGCGTGAAAACCTATTTCTATCATACTGGTTTATATTTATTACAAATGTCCTCATAGTCAGCATAGCCCAGAACGATAGACCGCAGACTCTCACCATGAACATTTTTAGTGTCCTGGTTCAAAACCATTTGTTGGCACTTTTATATTTTTTCAAACTTTTTACCTGTATAAACACTAAAGAACGAGTGCACTTATGGGCCCCGGTAAAATGTGAAAAAATGAAGGATTAAATTAAGCATAATTTTCCATCTCAGATCATTAATTGATATCTAAACCATAAGATTCAACAAATTTTATCGCTGAAATTCATGAATATACAAAGAGCAAAGCCATATAATGTGGTAGGGGTCAGCCGACATTCATGATTTTCTATAGTAAATCGAGGACGGTCATTCATTTCAAAGCTTTTGTTTATTGTCAGCCTAACATTGTACAAACTTGTGCGATTGACAAAAAATGCATTATACATTTATAAAACTTGTGTGAAAGTAGGAAATTTGTACATGATTAGGCTTGTACTTAAAATATTAAAAATGTATGAAAAGTTCAATGTTTTTCCTATAACAAGCAAGAGCTATTTACCTGTATGACCTATGTTGAACCCACCCGTGGAATAAATTATTTAAAATACTGGTAGTCACGTGAGTTCTACCCAGGTAAACATTCCTCAAAGATTCTCACTGTAAAACATAACCACGTTTTGTATCATTATATCGAAGTCAAGCCGCATAGAGAAGTTTCTATGTATTTGGTTTTAGGAACACAGGATGGTTAGGAGAGTTTAGTGTCGTTAAAATGTCATCATAAATAAAAGTGTCAAACATTTTTAACATTCATGCAAGACAATGGTACTGGTATTGAAAGCCACCTAAATACACTTTTTTTCATTTTAAAATTTAAAGGAACTAATGTTAATACTTATTGTATTATTTCAAATGCAAGCATGCAAATTTCTTAGTTTGATCACTAATGAATACAGGTATCTATATAACTTCATTCGATTTTTTTCTCGGGTAAAATAGCACAAAAACACGCCTGTCAATGATCCACCATCAGATTGTTCAAGTGTCTGATTTAAATGTCTCCTCCCCTTGATTTAAATAAATGAAACTCAAAATAGGTTCGGTACGACTTTTCCGGATTTGGGGTATCTATAGGTATTTAAAAAACTTCATTTGTTTCAAATCCATGCTAATTTAGGTGATGTTTTAATGTGATTTTAATTAGAAATGTCCACTTGTGTTTACTATTACCAAAAGAGAACAATTTGGTAATACATTCTAAAGTAATATGGCACTGAAAAAGGGCCCATTAAGCATTGCTTAAGTGCACTTGTCCTTTGATTTTTTAATACAAGCTTTTGCATTTTACTTAATATATTTTCTTCCTTAAATGCATGTTTGGTGTTGATATAAAAGACATCTATGGAAATGCAGATCATAAATTCTCTTTAACTAAACGCAATCAACCGGAACTAAACCTCATTGTAAGCACACTTTGTTCGAGGACATGAATCATTCACTTTGTGTTACTCGATACTGCAGGTGTCATGAAAAAAAATCATGCCGAGCAATAATTGCTGTGTTTGCCTTTCAAGAATATAATGACGTGTAATAGTACTGTTGTGCCAGTGGGAGATACTGTTCTATGCAGAGAAGATGCAGTTCATTCCTTGGGAAAAATGTGTGCATTGGCGATATGTTATGCTAAAAATGCATGAGGGTTTTCAGATAAGAAAAGAATGTGGTAAGGTCAGTTAAGGTTTTATGTCCCATTGCCATTACTCAGTCAGACATCAAGAATGACCCTCAAACAAAGGATGTATCATTCTGTAAATACTGAGGTAGGATCACATGAACACACAGTTGAGTAGAATGAAATATATCGAGATAACAATCAGTATTCAAGCTCAAAAGCCCATCAAAAAATACAAAATAGGAGCAGAGCAAATACGGACCTCAAAAACATCAGAGGTGGGATCAGGTGCCATGGAGGAGTGAGCATCCCCTGCAGACCAGTCACACCCGCTGTGTGCTCCTTGTCACGACTGGGAAACAATAGAAAAATCCATACACAATTCAGTGTGTAAATAATGGCCTAACAGTAAGTATGAAAAACGTCAGTCAGCATTTTACTTAATGATAAATTGTATTTGCTGACGAGGTCATTGTATCGACCATAGAACTTACAAAATGATGACTTTAAACAAGACTGCTGATATTCTTGTTTCAGCAATTTGTTTGTCAATAACTTACCTCCTTTTAAAAATTGTTCATACATAAAGGATGCTCTTGAGTATCGAATCAACTGAGAGATATAAACCCCATATGCAGGTGATGAAGGTATATTGCTGAGTAAGTAAGGGAAGTTGACGATTGAAAAGTTAAAGCCATCGCGTTTAACATAAAGCTTGGTTGTTAGATTACCATTAATGTAGAACTAAAGCAATACATGAGAAACAAGAAACTACACACATGTGACCTAAAGTCAGTGACCGGAACATATATCGGTAAGCTTTTTCTAAAGACTGAAACCAATATTGGTCCTATAGGTCATCTCATATTTTTCACTAGAAGTGTTCCTTTGATATACTATATTTTACTTAATTTCTATAGACTTACTATATCCTGAAAAAAAAAGGAAAACAGGAACTACCTGTTTAAATGACCCCGACCACCGAGGTTAATGTAAAGTTTGTCCCTGCCTACCTGAAAAACAGACTGCCTCGGGCAGTCAGTAATTTCCAACTCTGGTTATGAGATGCTAAATGTTTAATATTTACAATTAAATGCTTATATTTACATTTTTAAATTCATGATAGATTGAGAAAGTCGATAAAATCATTTCTATATTATGTCTGTATACTGTATAGGGGGAAAATAATTCGCGGTGTTAATATTCGCTATATTTACGGTGTGAATAAATCCGTGAATTCAAGAAACAGTGAATAAGTTTTCAATAACCTACATGTTATATTTGGAAATTTGAGCATAGACTACGATAGGTAAATATATGCAGTGCATTTCAGTAATTACGACTAGTACTTGTCATTCAATTATTTTAATTATCACGCTTGACATTAATTTAGATCACCCAGCAGATAATAACCTGTACTTGTAAAAAAAAAAAACTGTTTTAATAGCCAACGCTACATGTTTCATCAATCAAAACACTAGGGTCATGGGTTTTGAATACCCGTACGTAACTATGTTACGACGTGTATTTGTTACCTGCATTATCATGTTTTTATCAACATTTTGGTTTTAAAAAATCATTCAAATAACTATCGAACTTGCTGATTTATATATAAATCTACCATTGTTCGTGAAGTGAATACATAACGCTGATTAATGCCTTCTAGCTATGCTATGGATTAAACGGATATAGACATTGAAGGGAGGTACATGTAACCTTAGTTATATACCGATTCCGCGAATTCAACAAACCGCGATCGTTTCAGAGGAGAGAAAAACATGAAAATTACAACCCCTGAAATTAATCCCCTATACAGTACTTCAACCGAGAAATTAGTTGAAACTGGTTCCAGAAAAGAAGCTGAAAATGTTCAATAGTTTACAGACAATACTTGACACATGATGACTGAACAAGAACAGATAGCAATAAGGAATTTAAATTACTCAGATGAATTATAACCTGTTCAATCTTAGATCCATCTTTTTTCGAATACGAGGGTTGATCCAAAAGTTCATGGAATTTAATTATTTCTAAAATTTTATTGTGATTTGATGAAAGCAAACAATAGGCATATTTATAATATAGAGTCATTATGCAACAATACTGGAAAATTTCACCATGTTCCAATTACCAATAAGGTCACATGAGCTTTCTGAACACTGATAGTTGTAAAATGCGGGGGAGACTTCGGCGTAACGTCAAGTTAAGTATGTCATGTCATGTTATAGGAGCATCTCACCCTCATGTTCAATTCAACTAAGTAATTCTACAGAATATTCTGCCTTTTTCTCCTTTTTCTCTCTCAAGAAAAGCCTGGGTATCCACCAATCGACTTATCTTTATATTACACTCATATTTCAAAAATACTCCCCATCTTTCCATATGATGTTCCAATTTCAGTAGCAAAGTCAAGCACAGTACGTCAGCGGTCAACATCCATCAACCCTTAATTTGTCTACTAGAAAAACAGACCCTCCAAAAGCAGCCACACCTTTAATCAACCTCCATGGAAGTTCTATTGTTCTTAAATTTCTCACGCCACTGGAAAATCACTTGCTAAATGCATTTTTCTCCAGCCTGTATCAGTAGTATACCCCTTTAAGTCAGAGTGTTCCTAAGATTTTAACAAAACTTATAACTTGACTGAAATGCGACGTTCTCTAACAATTAAAAGATGAACAAGAAATCATCAACTAATAATCTAAATATCAAGTTAAATCAGTAAAACTCTCACAGACAGGTATATTAGTGGTCAAGCAATCGTAATAATGACAAAATTCTCATTTTATTTGCCACTTAGCGCAGGTTTTTTCTTATATCACGTATTAAGAATTAAAATGATAATGAACGAGTAAATGTCTCCCCTGCATTTTAAAACATCCTTTGCTATGGCAACTGCCATAGAGTTACTATCATAAATATTTAAAATATTTTTTTATTAAAAAAATTCAACAAGTGTCTATATTCTTATTTGTAATTTTCAACCACTTTCACTAATAAATAAATAAAATAAGAAGAAATTCCATGAACTTTCGGATCAATCCTCGTACATGTCAGTCATTAAATTTATATAATACACAGTATGCATAAGGGAGACCAAAGGTATTATTACTGCATTAAGGAGACCAACCACTATCCATATGTAAATCAGTATTCAACCACTTTCACTAATAAAAAAATAAAATATGAAGAAATTTCATGAGCATTTGGATCAACCCTCATACATGTCAGTCATTAAATTTACATAATATACAGTATGCATAAGGGAGACCAAATGTATTATTACTGCATTAAGGAGACCAACTACTCTCCACATGTAAATCAGTATTCAACCGCTTTCACTAATAAATAAAAAGAAATATGAAGAAATTAGTGATGAGACATCAGTTAATTTTCATAATCGATCATCGGTTGGAATCGGTTACTGCTTCTGATGCGATTTCACCGATTATAATCGGATTTCTTCATAGTTTTGTATACAAAAAGCAGACTATTACAATAATTTCATTTATTTCTTTAACATGAATATATAAAATACATAATATATTATTTTCTTTGTTGTTTTGCTTCTTTTACACTTTCTAGACCTAAAAATATTTACAGTGGACACCCAACATGGCTGCCTAGCGGCAGAAAACAAACTTCAAAAAGTTGTGGGGGGAATTGATCACTCTATATTTAAGGTTATAAAATGTTGACTAAGTTGCATATTTTATATCTCAAATAAAAGATACAATTAATATTTTTTGAATAAAAAGAATCAGCTGATTGATCACACCAAAGAGCAAACACAGATTTGGCAGAAAAAAAATTCACCCGGGGGTAAATTGAATGGGTCGGTCGGGTTATTACAGGAAACAAAAATAATTTTTTTTAGGCCCTATATATGCATCTTCGATTCTTAATCACCTCTGCTTCGTGCTAGTTGGCTAGTATCAGATGCAGATGCCATTTTCTTTCATTAAGAAGAAATAAATTTTAAACCAGAAATGGATAATTCCTGAATGTATTGTATTAGAAGTATGTTTCCGATGATCGATTATGAAAACTATAATCGATCATCGGAATCGGTAGCATTTTTTTGTCGACAATCGATGTTTTCTGATTATTGGTACAACACTAGAAGAAATTCCATGAACTTTTGGATCAACCCTCGTACATGTCAGTCATTAAATTTATATGATATACAGTATGCATAAGGGAGACAAAATGTATTATTACTGCATTAAGGAGACCAACTACTATCCACATGTAAATCAGTATTCAACCTCTTTCACTAATAAATAAATAAAATATGAAGAAATTCCATGAACTTTTGGATCAACCCTCGTACATGTCAGTCATAAAATTTATATAATATACAGTATGCAAAAGGGAGACCAAATGTATTATTACTGCATTAAGGAGACCAACTACTCTCCACATGTAAATCAGTATTCAAAACTTGAGATTTTAATACCCTAATAATTTACATGTTTAGTTACATGAACTAAATCTATTTACCTTTGTCATAACGCAAGAATTGTTTTACATTCAGCCAACTTTAACATTACACATGCATACAGTGTATGCCATGCATTAGGAAGACCAGATGCATTATTTCAACATTAAAGAAACCAACTACAATGGAACAATTAGACAGTATTCCAAAATGTTCATTCCAATACCATAGTAATTTCCCTTAATTTGTTTGTATTTAGATGACTTAAATCAATTTATCTCAGCCAGAATTGGAACAAAAAAACTAATCATAAAAGTGGCCAAACACATGAACAGACAGATGGACATGATGATTCCTATGCTTATATACACCCAAAGTTGCCAAAGTAGAGCAGATGCAGTGGTTGGAGCGTCTACTCTAGAGTCGCGGAGAAAGAAGCTGATCCTTACATCGTGAGTTTGAATCCCACTGTGAGACATGGAGACCCGTTCTTCAGATGAGACAGAGGTATTAACCGAGGTCCCATGTCGCAGTAGGTGCTGGTACGATAAAGATCCCTCACTGCTCAATGGCCGTAAGTGCTGAGTATAGGACAAAATTTTGCAGCTCTCCACCGACAAGTGATGGCGTCTCCATATGAGTGAAAAATTCTCAAGAGGGACGTTAAACAACAAACACTATACACCCAAAACTTTGTTTGCAGAAGATTTTGTGATACATGCTTTAATAGTATACATATTGTTCATAAGGGAATAAAAATGCTATAATATATCATTAAGGAAAGCAACTGAAATTAAATGTGCACTTCTAATTGAACTAAACAAAATTACCCTTTGTCAGAATGTAGATTTATAAACAGGAAGGCTGTTTTTCTTCATTTTTTCCATGTCAGATTCAGACTGTTCTTGAAAAAATTCTGGCATACACCCTGTAAAAGTGAACAGTGCAGATAATAAAGAGCTTCTAAATAAACTGCATAATATTTAAATGATCCACTTAAAAGGGATAACAAATGCATTTAACTCCATCAAGGAGACCAACTGATATCCATATATATAAATCAGTACATGTATTTTAATTGTGATATTTTAATATCCTAGTAATTTACATGTTTAGTTTCATGAAATAAATCTATTTACCTTTGTCCAATGACCAATGAGCACAAGCACTGATTTTTCCTCTTTTTTCTTAACGGAATCACCAGGGCCAGTCTGCGGTCCATATGATTCTGGCATATGTACACTCTGTAAAATGCATATTTGTACCATGTACAGGCATATGAACAATATTTCTATACTACATACATGCATCATTAAACTTAATAATCTTTTTTTTCCAAAATTCATTATTCATATTGTTTTGCTGTTAGCAAAATTCAACAAAAACTATACCGTATATATACTTGCCTATAAGGTGGTCCACCTATAAGTCAGTTGTATTTTTTGAGGTTATTTTGGAGGGATTTGCTATTGACCCGCTTATAAATCGGTACAACTTTTTGCCAGAATCAATTGACAATTTCAAATCAATGCTCTGATGTTTTAACCTGGTTTCAAAATACTAATCTTTTTATGACTCACCTATAAGCTGGACATAGAGTATATACAGTACCTGCATTATACATGCACTAGGAAGACCAAATGCATTATTGCAATATTAAAGAGACCATTGTGGTAAATGAAATCAATGTATGAATTGTATTCAAAACTGCGGGTGTACTAATTTGTCTGAAGTATATCATGATATAATGTGATACACAAAGACTTTAACAGGATATGTACATATATCCACATGCCTAAATGTAACAACAGGAATTATCGTTCTACAATAATTTATTGAAATTGCCAATATGAATAAACAAAAGCAAACTTTGTTTCAATTGTATGAACTTTAAGTTTTCTTTTTACACCACGGTCAGATAATCTAACTATCCCCCCTGGTTGGCTACCGGGTCCTTCGTTAGACTGCCTTATCGGACATGATATTTACTGAAGATTTGATTTTTGGTACTGACTTTTATACTCAAAATAATGTCTTTGTTTAATTTCTTGAGTTCAATATCACTTTGATGTGTTCAGTGTTTACTTTAATATGTAATGATGTGTATAAGCGTGTATTTTCGATAATTTAAACTTCTAGTACAGTAATCGTCCCAAAGCCGCTGTTTCATTATCGTGTCATAGTATCTCTGAGAGTGCATTTTATTAACACCTCCAAATCACCTGGCCTGCGTAATTAAATTTAACTACCAAAAACAACAGCTTGGGACTAATAAGGTGTGATTATCAGCAATGGTCCCATGAAGCCTGTGCTAGACCTAATGGAAACGTTCAACAGACCGTAAAATTAGCATAATGGGATTATTGTGTACTAAGGTGTGAATTCAGCGGAGCAAGAATTTGTTGGACTTCGAGATAACGCATGTGTTTATAGCACTTGGGACCATAAATCTACTTCGAGATAAGCGAGGTATTTGAGATTTCCGTGTTTGAGATACCGGGGTTTTTTAAAATCATAAATATAATAAAAATGGCCGGGACCGTTGATTCACTTCGAGATATCCGTGGTATTTGACATACCGGTGTTCGAGATACCGAAGTTTACCTGTATATCGATACATATCTAGATTAATGAATATATCGTATCAAAAACAAGAGGCCCATGGGCCACAACGCTCACCTGAGCACATTGGCTAGGAAAAAGCACAAATCACTTCAGTATTGAAAAGTTTAAAGGGGAGGGGGCTTGGATTTTGAACTACCTGAGGAAGCTTCCATATCAATATAACAAATGGCTTTACTGTTCTTGAGCAGAAGATTTTTAAAGATTTTTTTCCTATATATTCCCTTGTTAGAAATTTGATCCCCCATTGTGGACCCTCCCTACCCCCCCACTCCCCCATCATTTGAACAAACTTGAATCTACACTACCTGAGGATGCTTCCATATCAATATGACTAAGCATGGCTTCTCTGTTGATGAAAAGATTTTTTCCTATATATTCCTATGTAAAAATTTGATCCCACGTTGTGGCCCCACCCTACCCCTGGGGTTTATGATTTGAACAAACTTGAATCTACACTACCTGAAGATGCTTCCATATCAATATGACAAAACATGGCTTTGCTATTCCTGAGAAAAAGATTTTTCAAGTTTTTCCCCCTATATATTCCTATGGAAAACCATGATCCCCCATTGTGGCCCCACCCTACCCCCAGGGGTCATGATTTAAACACAAACTTGAATCTACACTACCTGAGGAAGCTTCCATATCAATATGACAAAACATGGCTTTGCTGTTCCTGAGAAGAAGATTTTTCAAGTTTTTTTCCCTATATATTCTTATGTAAAACTATGATCCCCCATTGTGGCCACACCCTACCCCCAGGGGTCATGATTTGAAAAAACTTGAATCTACACTACCTGAGGAAGCTTCCATATCAGTATGACAAAACATGACTTTGCTGTTCTTGAGAAGAAGATTTTTAAAGTTTTTTCCTATGTATTCCTATGTAAAACTTTGATCCTCAATTGTGGCACCACCCTTACCCTGGGGGTCATGATTTGAACAAAGTTAAATCTACACTATCTGAGAATGCTTCCATATCAATATGACTTAACAAGACTTTGCTGTTCTTGAGAAGAAGATTTTTCAATTTTTTTTCTGTATATTCCTATGTAAAACTTTGATCGCCCCTTGTGGCCCCACCCTACCCCGAGGGGTCATGATTTGATACAAACTTGAATCTTCACTACCTGAGGATGAATCCACATCAATATGACTAATTGTGACTTTGTTGTTCTTGAGAAGATTTTTCAAGATTTGTTTCTACATATTTCTATGTAAAATTTTGATCCCCCATTGTGGCCCCACCCTACCCTGGGGGTCATGATTTGTACAAAATTTAATCTACACTACCTGAGAATGATTCCATATCAATATGACTAATTGTGGCTTTGTTGTTCTTGAGAGAAAGGTTTTTAAAGATTTTTTTCTATAAATTCCTATGTAAAATTTTGATCCCCCATTGTGCCCCCCCCCCAGGGGTCATGATTTTGTACAAACTTGAATCTACACTACCTGAGGATGCTTCCATATAAATTATGACTAATTGTGGCTTTGTTGTTTTTAAGAAAAACAATTTCAAGATTTGTCCTACATATTTCTATGTAAAACTTTGATCCCCCATTGTGGCCCCACCCTACCCCTGGGGGTCATGATTTGAACAAACTTGAATCCGCACTACCTGAGGAAAATTCCATATCAATATGCCTAATTGTGGCTTTGTTGTTCTTGAGAAAAAGATTTTTAAAGATTTTTCTATATATTCCTATGTAAAACTATGATTCCGCCTTGTGGCCCCATCCTACCCCTGGGGGTCATGATTTGAACAAACTTGAATCTACACTACCTGAGGATGATTCCATATCAATATGACTAATCGTGGCTTTGTTGTTCTTGAGGAGAAGATTTTTAAAGATTTATTCCTATATATTCCTATGTAAAACTTTGATCCCCCATTGTGGCTCCACCCTACCCCAGGGGGTCATGATTTGAACAAACTTGAATCTTCACTATGTAATGAAGGTCTCACCTAAGTTTCAACTTTTACAGCCCAGTGGTTCTTGAGAAGAAGATTTTTAAAAGATACTACTAAATTTTCACTAATTCTTAATTATCTCCCCTTGAAAGAGGGTGTGGCCCTTCATTTGAACAAACTTGAATCCCCTTTACCCAAGGATGCTTTGTGGCAAGATTGGTTGAAATTGGCCCTGTGGTTCTTGAGAAGAAGATGAAAATGTGAAAAGTTTACAACAACAACGACAGACAACGGACAAATTTTGATCAGAAAAGCTCACTTGAGCCTTTGGCTCAGGTGAGCTAAAAATAACTTAATTCCAATACATTTTGGGCAGGCAGTTTTTTTTATGTAATTCTGTGAAAAACTTGGGAATTTCAATCACCAAAGATTATATTTACTGGTAATTGTTTTGAATTAAAACTGTTCAAAAATGATATAATCATTAAGGAGGTAGCACATCTTAAATGATTATTACAAAATCATAAAAATACATAGACAACTTTACTTAACATGTTGATTTTACAGTCAAGAAAAGTTTGAATTTGAAGTGTAATTTTTAAAGACGGTGAGACAAAAAATTAAAAATGAGTAAAAAACAATTATTATTTTTATAAAATTCATGCATAATGATTTATAAGACCTTTTTGACAGAATTGTTAAAGAATTCAATATATTGCTTATCGCATTAAAAAATGTCTTCTTTTTTTTTTTTGCTCAATACACAGCCCTAGCAAAAATGATTTACAACAAGGACTTCAATTGATTATTAACATTCATTCGATTGATCATAATTATTAACTGTTATTGCACTTTCATTTTCAAAATGTTGTTAGGTACATTGTTTGTTCACTCTTTTGCATTGATATTATAATTTATAAAAGAGTATTTTAGCAGAAAAAATTATCAATTTACCTTTCATGGAATAAAGACATGTTGACCCTTGAGCTGAGATTTTCTCTCTTTCCATAGATTTGTTACACTGGGGTCCACATGATTCTAGCGAGACCCTGTAAAAAAGGACTTAACTATGGAAAAGCATGAAGAATATATGCCTATTATACATATCTTAAATTCTAATGAAAACAATGTTTTTTAATTAAGATCCATATATTTCTAATGATTGACATAATACAAATTCAAAATAAAATATGCATGTCTATGTTATACACTGTACCTTAAGCAGACCAATTGCATTATTACATCCTTCAGGAGACCAACTTAAATCAATGTTTGAGAACTACTTGTGAGAACAATAAATTTGTCTACTTTACAGTACTAAATGTACATGGAATCTATAGGATGATGTTACTTTAATTGAACTGCCTTAGTTCAACACAGTAATCTAACAAAGAAATTGAGCCAAAACAACATTTTAAGACTTTTTGAACAGTGCATGTTCCTATCATTTCAAAACCATTACCAGTAAAAATGCTAATATAGGAAAATGATGACAATTAATTAATATTGTACTTTCAGGTATATTAGATGAATTAATCTGATTCGTCAAGAAACATTTGTTAAAAAGCACTATTATCCGCTGAATAATGAAGCCACGCCCAGTGTCACAACAGTCAACATTGCTTAACGACGGGTGATATTCCAAAAAATAGTGACTGCGCAGATTTATGTGCTCAAGGTTCACTATTATTTGTATTTGTATAAAGCATTCAGTATAATATAATAAATATTACATGTACTCGAGTGTAATATTGAAATTTTTCACCCCTCGAAAACCAAATACGTCAAAAAGGGGATGGGTTTCTTTTCCAACTTCTACATAGTTTTGCCCATGCAAAAACTGGTATAGACCTTGGAAATGTTTAAACGGGCTAAGAGAAATCAATTGCATCAAGAGTACTTAATTGTTTTTACCCAAGTTACATGCCAAAAAAGATTCAGAGAGACGTCACATAAAGTTAACGTTGATTTGAACTGAAGTTAGGGTGTCAAAAATCATTCACATCCAAAAGTGACATTGATCATGTGTGGTAGATAATAAACTCCTACGAGCTAAATATGCTGCCATAATCAAGTGAGGATCTTTGCCTAATCCTATATATAAATCCATTTACAATATTATATGCACTTAAGCAGCTGTTTATGACATTGTAAAATTATATAAACAAGACCGGTTTATATAATTTATATCAATTTATATAATTAATAATATAATTTATATAATTTTATCAAGATAAGTGTATGGGGTAGAGGGAGCAGACATTGAGAATCAATGTTGTCGGACCTCATGAAACTAAACTAACAGTCTTCCAAATAACCCGGGAGTCCAATGCCAGGGACCTGTTAAATTTGCAGCCGGGCATGTAAAAATTGCCAAATTACATGTCCGAAGAGGGCATATGTGAATCTTCTTTCATCGTACGATCTTTACTTGCCATTTATTCTGTCCTACCCCCATTATTCGCTTAAACGTTGCTATATGTAATGTCGATGGATTGCCTGTCTACATTCTCGATACGACCTGTCAAATGATTATCAATCTAATCATTGAAGTGTTTAGTTTAACCTATTTGTTTTCTCGAAGTTGCTTGCTAAATTACGAGATGTTCATCAATGCCACATACTGTGGCACTACAGTCATGATCCCATTTCTGAAATTCAGTTCAGCTAAACCGGCCAACAAATGACCAGCATGCAACTCAAAAGTTATTTATGAACAAAAACACTTTAGAAAATGGCAATCACAGGCCATGGTTGGTTTACGGCGCTGAAAAAATTAATATAAAACCTTTATACCTAATGGGTTTTTTTTGTTGCACAATACTGGTAAATGTAAGAATTTTGAGTAGGACATGTACAAATTTGAATGGGCTGGGTAAAAATGATAGGTCTACATGCCCGAAGGGCATGTGCTGAAAAAGAATTGTTGTGAAGACTGAACTAAAGCGACAGCGCCGGGTGATCATATAAAGTCCCCTTTATTACATAATAATTTGGCAAATTATCAACACATCAAGCTAAAATTTCCAACATATCTTAACGGTGAGAATTTTTATTTTTTAAGTTGAAACCTCGTGACATGTGAAAAAAATGAAATTTGTATCCCATCTAAAGTCTTAAAATGTATTAAGGTAATTTTCGATACAAATTTGCGGTTGGGGTTATAAATGAAGGATAAAACCAGAGACCTCGGAATGGAATACTCGAAAGTCTCTGGTTTTATTCTACCCCCAACTGGAAGTTGTATCCCATCTAAAGTCTAAAAATGTATCGAGGTAATTTTCGTGGAATAAATGAGTGCTTTACAATAAAGAGACTCGACCAGATACGTCTGAAACGATTTATTTGACAAGAAAAAAGTCTCATGAAGCGAACGATGTCATTTTAAAGTAGGTTAATGATTGATAATGATAGATACATGAACAAAATATGAGCTTGAAGCGGGGGTGCCTGAAATTGAGTTAGATACCTTGTGGTAAAAATAAGTAGGGGTGCACCGTATATGAAACAAGTGCCTGTGATTGATAGTCTGAAATTTCTCTTCACCTAAATATTAAAAGCTTGCAGTGATCGCTATAAATCTATACAACAGTCAAGTTACATACGGTAAACTAACATAAAAACAAGATTACAACAGTCATGATTACAGAAGGTATATTTTGAAGACTCTAGGTCAGTAGGTGAATGTAAACAGGTAAACACACGTGGGACAGTCACCGCAAATATGAACCACAAAACGACTTATAACATTAAAATGTAAATATTCATCTGCACACAGATTTTTGCATAATAATAATAATTTTTAAAAAGTGTAAATTTAAAATATAAAATAAACAAACCTCAAACCTTGTAACAAAACAAGGCTTGTTTCCCTACAATCTTATTCTGGTTCTCTGTCACTGAAAATGCAGGGAACCAGGCTGCGTTATTAACTCGTACACAGATTTGTTGATACGAATAAACCTATAAACATATATACGAAATAAAATATTATCATAAAAAATGAAGAATTTCAAATTGCTTGAAAAATTATCTTTATGTAGTTTATAATAAATGGTTGTAATTGTTTATTAATTTCTATCTATCCATTAAAATTTGATACGTATATCAGCTTAATATGTACAATGTATCCGTCTGAACAATTATTGTTATTACACTCCCTGTCACATCTTCATAGTTAAGCCTGTAAACATGGTAAGTAGGAATCAATTTCAGTTGAAGGGGACCAAAACCAAACATTTTTCAGTTTCATTTGGTGGGGAGGGGGGGGGGGGGTATAAACCTCAAATGATCATTTTATCTCTGTCACTGAACTGCTGAAAATAATGAAGGGAACTTGGCTGCGACAATGATTTGTTGACTGAATTAAAATACGAAATAAATTATCATACATACGAAATAAAATAATTTCATGAAAAAATGAAGAATTTCCAATTGCTTGAAAAAAAGAAGCTTTTCATGTATGTGATTTACAATAAATGGTTGTACTTTTATATTTTCTATATATCCATTAAAATTTCACAGTATCAGTATTTCACTATTTGTAAACATTAAAAATAATATTAAATAAATGTTACACTCACTGTGGCTTTGACTGAGTTACTGTCACATCTTCACAATTAAACGAGAATATTCCCTTCCGTAAATATTGCTATATATATCTGAACTGTTACCAATTAATCTTTCTTTGGTGAAAGAAAACCTCAGGGATGGAGAATAGGCCCGTACGTAATTTAGTTGGGGGGGGGGGTGAGCACAACCAAACAACATTTTTCAGTTTCAGGTTGGGGGAGGCTACAAACCAAAAATTTTTTAATAAGCAAAAGAAAAATACATTATCAGAGGTTATTATTGAGGGGGCCCAAAAGCAGAAGAAAAATAGATCATCAGAGGTTATTACTGAGGGGGCCCAAGCATAAAGGAGCAATGTTTTCTATAGTATACCTAAATTTCAGCAAAATTACAGGGGGCCTGCCCCCCCCCCCTTTCCTTCAGCCATGTATTGTATCAAATCTGCTTCACCCTGATTCAGATTTTTTTACAGCATATATTATATTCTATTAGCAGAGGACCATATTACATTAATAAACAATTATTAAATTACAGCTATTTTTTTTCCTACAGGGTCTGTTTCATTTATACTATATCATGATGATCATGTCCTGCATGATGTTTACAGAAAGTTTAATTTAAATTTTTAAGCTCGAAATAGCTGCGTCAACTTGCGAGACTATTTTTTCAACGTTTGGCCTAATCTTTAAATATTTAATTTGTTTGTGGACTTGCATAAAAGAATTAAAAAAATATAGGGGCCTATCATTTAACTTTATTTCGAATTTCCTTCAGGATTTTTATACCGAACTATAGTCTAACGATTATTTAAAATCATACTTTTTCTCTTGAAAGCTAAATTACTAGGAAAAAAAAACAAACGAATGTTTGTCTTGTGTATTCTTAGTTACAACTTATTACTGTATCATTTTAGTGACTTACCCAAATTTCTCAACATCCATGGTGTTCAGAGGTCATTTTCTGAAAACTGAAGGGGCATTCCGATGGCATTCGGAACAAATGACGGAAAGCACTTGCTAAGAATTCAAAACATGGTTCATAAATTTACAATATTTTTCCTTTTTAGGTTTTTAACATAAAACATGGAAAACTAAGTTAAAGAAACACTCATTTGAACAAATCAAAAGCGGAAAAAATATATATGCTAGATTTTTTGTTTAATTGCGTGTTTTTCATGGTCTCCAAAATGCAGAAAAATTATCCTTTGAAATTATACGTAGGTTATAAATTCTTTTCTTTTTTAGGGAAGATGATAGAAATTAGACAACTTTTGAATGTTAAATAACAGAGTTAAAGATTAATAATATTTAATGGCATACTGTTTATTTATCTATAAAAAGACATTTGCAATACTGATGAGGTCAAAATAATAGGGAGACCGAAAAAGGTCACCTTAATCCAGTGGTCTCCCTAAGCTAGAAAATATATCCTCCTTGGTCTCCTAAAGCCATATGTCATATATATATATATATATATATATATATATATATATATATATATATATATATATATATATATATATATATATATATATATATATATATATATATAGTCTTGTAAATACAATGTCTGAAATCTGTACAATGTACCTGTCAGGAGATGCACTAAACATCATCAAGTTTGGTAGGTGGATCCTGGTTGTAATTTGCCTCAGGATATGTTGTGTGCATGTGGCAGTTAACATTAAAAATGGTGTGCTGGGAAAATGGGACCTCAGCTCACCAAGTCTGGCAAATGTAGGTCTAAATGTTTCACCCCTGTAGATTAGAGTTGAAGTTTCATTTTAAAATATGTCCATTTATCATTTTTGAATACAGAAGTTTTACTTCATTCAGGAAAAAAATCATTTAGTTTAAGTGTTTCCCAAAACATGTATAAACTAAAAAAAATAAGACTCATGTTTTAATCACACATCAAATTATCTTTTGTTTGAACACGTGTGAAGTTTCTTTACCATGAATCCATAATGTGTGCCTCATCTATTGCTATGAGACAGACACTCTCTTTATAAATTTTAGAACTCAGCAGCATGTCTTTCCATGAATCTATATTCAGTAAAGTCTCAGGAGACATGTAAAGGATAGAGAATGCCCCTGTCCGGATTCCTGCATTTGATAAAAATCAGCATTCAAAGGTACTAATTAAAACATATGTGTACACATCATCAGGTACATATAGGTACATATTGTTTCCACATATTTTGACAAACATTTTTAACTGAAAAATTGAAATACTTATTGCAATATTTTGAAATTTTGGCCTTTAAGCACTCTTTCTTAGGAAATACATGAATGTATACTGATTAAAGTTCTAATATATACAATACCTTCCACTACTTCTGAGGACATTTCATCTTTTGCCTGTATAACTGCAGCACTGATTCCATGACTGTCATTATGTTTACATTGGTCAAGTATTAAACTCTTTAAAGGCGAGATCACAATACATGTATGGTGTACTGAGTTATCAAGTCTGTCGAGTATCAATGGAGGTAAAAGATAGCAAATGCTTTTACCAAACCCAGTTGGAAAAACACCGACTGTGTGATTGTGTTGAAGAATACTGTCTACAACCTGTATTTGTTCGTCATTCAATTCAAAATTGAATTTAAACGTCTCTTTAAGTTCGTTTTTAAAAATTTCACTGACATTTGCGCGTCCCGCCATTACATGTATGACACACTGCGAAAACTAACACCTGTCTGAAGCCTCTGATTATTTATAGCAATACGCCAGAAAAATAAATGAAAGTGCTTGTGTTTTCTATGTGAAATCATTCTATGGTGTTTAAAAAATAAGAGAAAGTCAAAAAGAAATGTTGTCAATCTTTATTTTGTACGAAATCGATAGAAAATCGAGGAACCGCGGTTTGTTTACGTTATCAACACGTGTGTGCTATATTTCATATATCACGTGACCTTTTAGCGAGATCTCGTTAGTAGGTCAACATGGCTGTCGGATGGCAGAAAATTCAAAACAATCGAGTTCATCGGTCTGTAGAAACGATTATAAAGGGTTAAGAGGTGGATAAAATATACAGGTTGGTAAAAGAATATGTCTAGAATTAGGGAATAAATGGTAGCTGAATGATCAATGCTGGAAAGTGGAGATATATATCCTCAACCGAGCGCAGAAAATCTTGCGCCGTAAATTGCACTATATTTGCATTACGGGATCTGTAGCGTTATGGTCAAAGACTACAATGTAATATATAAAACCATAACGCTACAGTTCTGCAGCTAGTTATTACGACTTTTTATCTCGTAATAACGACTTTTTATCTCGTTATTACGACTTTTTATCTCGTAATAACGACTTTTTATCTCGTTATTATGACTTTTTATCTCGTTATTACGACTTTTTATCTCGTAATAACGACTTTTTATCTCGTTATTACGACTTTTTATCTCGTAATAACGACTTTCTTAAGTCGTAATAACGACTTTTTATCTCGTTATTACGACTTTTTATCTCGTAATAACGACTTTTTATCTCGTTATTATGACTTTTTTTTTTTTTTTTTTTTCTTATTTGACCCTTCTAGGCTTTTGTAAGGGGGCACTACCAATATATCAAAAATGTTCTGACAAGCAAAAAAAAAAAAAAAAAAAAAAAGAAAGAAAAAAGGTCATCAGACGTTTTTATTGAGGGGGCACAGGCATATAGTATCTAGTATGTTTGCTATAGTAATCTATATATCGGCAAAATTATTGCCCCCCCCCCGGTTCCTACGGCCATGCAATTTAATTGTCTTCTATCTTGGAAACTTAGCCTCTATTTTTCACTTTAATCGCTCAAAAAAAAAATCCTTGTACATGTAAATGGTCCATTTTCCCAACAGGCCAAATAGATCGGCGAAACCATTGTGACGTCCATTTTCAAAAATGACGTATATTGTTTTATTATGTTCAGCTTGACATGAATATGGACACAGGCACTTGGTAATAAATAAACTAGATGTAAAATAATATTTATACGACAAGTGTAAATACTGCATTTTTTTCTGAACTGCTACTTTTTTCTACCACCTAACGTCCAGATATAGTCTAACTCGGACCACTGTCGCTAAGTTTGGAAGCGCGGAAGTGAGATGCTATACTAATATAGACCCAATGTATCTGAATTCGAACAACGTGTAAAGAATTAATACAGACCAGATCTTCATAACATTGATATAATGATTTCATCCTTTATATTAAAGGATTTTTAGCGATACGTGGCGAGGTATATTCTCAATATTATTTAGATCTAGCAAAACACCGTCGAATGCATGTGTATTGCATGCTGTAAAATGAGCACATCTTAAAAAATAAACATAGTCCGCACAATATCACCATCATAATTTTTTGCATATAAAATGCTTTCAAATCGATGTTTTATTTGTGAAAATTTCAAAGTGGTGATATAATGCGGACCTATCGAAAAATGCTTTTAAGTCTCTGATTTTTAACGATTTTTCCGGAAATACGCATTCCGTGCATGATTTGACCACGAATAAACAGTATACATGGGACACATTCTCAAAGTTTGGGTTTATTTTTTTAACAAGCATATATCCATCCTTTATTTTCAATGTAAAGTTTTGATTCAGTGTAAACTTTAATTTTAGAAATTCACAGGGCCAAATATTATATCAAATGAACCTTGTCCTTACTTTTTAAAAAAAAAAATACTCGGATTATACGCATTAGTTTTCTGAAGTTGATATTAAATGCTAGAGATCCTTACTGGCACATCTTTGTAGTCTTCAGAGACCAGTTCTTTCAACAATCTTTTTGAAAGTTTTTGGGGATTAATTGGGCTTCTTTTTTAATTGAGCTCCTTAAGTAGCCGACCTGTTTTTATATTCTTAAGAAATAGAATTTATTCAAAAACTTCTTCACGAGAAGAAGAAATTGTGACATTCAATATATCGACGACGTTTTATCAATCAAAAAATACCTACTTTCATTCATATGTCGATTCATCCCAGTGAACCGAAATAAAAGACATCACAGAGTGTGCCGTCTAGTTTGATGTTTTACTTTTAATGTTTGAAACTTCTTGGGAATTTTTTTTTTAGAATTTCTTCCTTATAAGTACCTAGGAGCATAATATCTTTTTCTTAGTGTTTTAAAACTTTTTTGACATCATCCTACAAAAATACATAGAAGTGTGTAGGGAAAAAACTTTCCTTTTTTTCTCTCTGAAGTACACAGACTTGTGCTATAAACTGATCAATATCTTCAATCGGTGCTGAATCATATTTTGTGTGAATGTAGTATAGATTACACAATGTTGCATGTTTTATCGAATCTGTTATCTGATATATACACTATGCCTTTTTTCACAATATGATGTCTTTTTTATCGTTTTGAACGCATGAAGCATTTTCTTTTACAATGCATAAATTTAAAATTCCACATGAATTGCTGGTATTATCTTTCACGTCTAAAAATGATTCTTAATAAAAGAATGTAAATTTTACAACTGGACTGAGAATTTGTCTTAAACAGCATCAAGCATTCTCAGTAACGAACATATCAACTCATGTCAAAAAATGTATGATAGACAAATATAGAAAATAATCTTTAATCAATATCATTTTCTTTGACATCACTTAAATTTCCTTATCTAAATCATAACTTATGTACACTAAATGCATTATCAAATCATTGACAAATAAAAATGAAAAAAAGTTTTGAATATGTTATACAAATACATAATTATACACGAAAATTCTTTAAAAAAAAAAACAAAAAAAAAAAACAAAACAAAACACACATACATAATTTAAGGACCCTCTCTACACTGCACCCTATTTTCAGGGTACTTTTGTGTAATTAGACTGACCCACCATTTGATATATATATATAGGTAAAATAAATTGTAATCTGAATTGTATCACATAATTTAAAATAAATCCAAGTATTCTAAACATTATATTAGACCAAGATAGAGTATTTGAAAACTTTATTTGCATGCATTTTATCCATTTGAGTAAGCGAAGGCAATTTTTCTTTTCTATTACTTCATTGTCTTTGAAGATTTTTCCTGAATAAAAAAGGCACGTTTCCTATATTTAAAATGAGTCAGTTAATTTCAAAATATCCTCCTCTATGTTATATAATTTTCTCAAAGTCCAAAAAACGTTTTTCATCAGTGTATAGAGGGTCCTTAGATGATATTATCATTTATAACTAGCATATATTTTGATAGGGAAATTACTTGCTACGCAATATTGTTCTTCTTTCAAAGTTATGGTGATACTGTTTATATTACTATTTAAATCTTAAGATATAACGGGGAAAATATCAATAAAATATTTAAATGAAAATGTCACAACAAATCTTTTTACAGCTTATAAGCAGAACATCCGTCATAGAGATTGGCAATGATCAAATAAATATCAAAATTTTATTCTGTAAGGAAAATAACGTGTGATTACTGGTTGTCTTTATGTATAAATATTCAAGATATCTTTTATTATCAAAATACTCACGTAATGCACATGTTAAAGGTAATTGAAATTTTATTTTTGTTTGAAAAAGCATTTTTAAATTTTTAAAGTATATATACCAGAATTTTACAATCATGTATACAACATAAACCAAGGTGAAAATAAAAAAAAACTATGTAAGAAGTCATTTAATTTACAATGAGTAGCTCTACATGCTCTATGCAAAAAATACTAATAACTTCTTCTAGTTCAGTTGACAAAAGATTTCATTTTTTAAAAAATGCAGCAAAATTGTGTCAATGACCCAATGCCTTACACCAAGAAAAAACCCACTGCAAATTAACTAATTATACAAACAGGAAAACCGTCAGCAATCGCTTAGTACTATTTGAATGCATAAAAATTAAGTATAGGTTATGTTAGATTCCTTTTTAAAGATCTCTAATGCAAGTGAAGCTGAAAATTCTGATCGAGAAGTTTTTTCATAAACTTTTCTGTGGTAAATGACATTCACTACCCGTTAGGTACTCCATCGAGGCGTCAAAAATTAACGTGACATTCTATCGGCAGACAGCTTTCATATTATAATATAGCGCTTATGCATTCAAACATGTCGAACAAAATTAATTGTCTGTTTTGTGGGTCTTTTATTTGGGTAATTCTGAGCATTGAAGCCAATAATAGTTATATATTGTTGGCATTTCGTCATGGTTCATTACATGTATTTGTTTTCAGTCGGATTGATTCTTTGTCTATTAAATTAATTTAAAGATTCTTCCATAGCTCAGACATATTATTATCATCGTAAATGTAACACATATATGATTACCTACTTTAGGATATTAGATCGGTCGCTTGAAGCATTTGTTCAGTAAACATGAAACTCCAGAAAAGAAAATTTCAGTAACATCATGATGGGAATACTGTAAAAGTTGATGAGTTTATTTACCTTGGTATGTTGTTTGAAAAAAAAGAAGAAAATCCTTAAATACTGGCTAAACCTAAGAAATAATGATAATTGATTCTTAAGACATGTCTCCAAGAAAGAATAGAAAATAATGATGAATAGATTGTAAATATTAAAAGTGAATTTCATAGACTGTGTTTAGCAGGACTGTATGATAGTAATTGTATAAGCAGTAATATAATTAATATTGTACATCAAGAAATGTTTGATGAATATATGCAAAACAGAATGTCAGATTTAGGTTAATCAGCAAAATGTCTCATTTACCAACACCTTGTTGATAATTTTACCCTCTAAAATTACTTACGTAAATCAATACGTTTAAGATATAAAGTACCAATTACCAGATTAAGACTATCTGCTATATAGCTTAATGTTTGAACAAGAAAGATATAACAATTGTGAGAAATAAAATAGAATGTGTAATCTTTGTGAAATATATAGATATATCATCATATGTAATAAAATGTATATGATAATCATAATTGTAAATACTGTCTATGAGATGTATGTCTCTTGACTTTAATAAACTAAACTTAAACTCGCTATAATTAATATTAACAAACATTCAGTAATACTTTTATGACACATAAAAGTTTTGTTTTTTTAACTCAGCAATTCAACTTGTAGATGGTATACTTCTTTCCATCAGAAATAAAAAATTCTTTATATGATTGATTGAAAGACATAAAAATGGCTCCAGGATAGTCCATGATAAGACATCGACTAGTACTTCCATCGGGCAGAATTTGGAAAAGTCCGCCATTTTCTAAATGTTTATTTGCTGGTTGTCCACACAGTTGACAATGACTTCGAACATAATTGTTACATCTGTTGTGGAGAGCACCATGTTCCGATACAGAAAATGAATCAGGATTCCATTCGGAACTAATTCTATAATCGTGCATTTTATAACCATAACCATACCGTTGGTTCATACATTGACATTGAGCATAAAAGTATTGGCAGCTCACATTTTTCCAATACACTGCATAAATGTTATTAAGTGGATCGAATGACAAACATCGAGGGCTCTTCATATCTTGGTTTTGATACCTAAATCTTTCTTCCCCAGTGAGGGAATAACAAACTACTTCTTCATTTGCACTCAGTATAGCAAACCGGTCTCCTGATTTTGACAAGGTTAATATGGGACCAGTTGTTGGACTTTGAAAGGCAAAGGTGTGAGTAGCTGATAAAACAGGTAAGATTTTATAGATAGTTACCTGAACTTTGGATGCTGTTATTACTGTGCTCTCGTCATTGTCTACGCAAAAAACGTCAAAGTCTTGTTTTAAATCCAACTCTCCAACACAAGAAGCACTGATAGTATTTTTTTTCTTGCTTATCTTCATTTTTCGGATTTTGGTCAGGCAGCTGATGTACAGGGTATCATTGGTTGGTCCAACGCTCAAGAAGGATATTCCTGTTACTTCAAAAGGAGGATTACAAGGATTTGTTGCCCCGTCGATAGCATTGCAGCATAGAACAGTGTTTGAGGACAAAACCATTACCAGTGTTTCATCATTCAGGAAAATGCCAAGGCGTGCAGGTGAAGATAATTTAAATTCAGATTTTCTCACTGCTGTCAGTGACGTAGAGTTTGAAGAAGTCCCGAACACTTTTGAAGTATCTTCCTTTTGCACAGTGTTAAAGATATTTAATGAGGACAAATGCTTACACAAATTCCATATAATTCCTGATGGCCTTGTAAGCAGTTCCACGTCATCTATTTTATTGTGTTCACAAATCTGTTTTAGAATGGTTGTGTGATCATGTTCATAATCATACTCTACGTCTTCTGCGTTTCTGGTTTTGTAATGTTCAAACTGTTCTTCTACATCTCTTATTGTTTTCACTGCAGAAAGAAATGTTCGCTTACTGGAGCCTGTCTGCTCAACTGCAGAAAGAAGGATTTTTCCATTCTTAATAGTCAAAAGGTATTGCTTCATGTCCAAAACACATTGTGTCAGCTTTTCCTCGATATCTTCGTGCTTTTTCTGTAGGCCTTTTTCAAACTGTCTCTGCAGTTCATCAAGTTCTATTTTAATATTTGAAATTTCTGTAGAAACATTTTTCATAATTTCCTCCCGTTTTGCGCTTTTGCAAATTATATCCTTTTCTTTGAATTTAATGCTTTCTTCTGTTATCACTGATATTTTAGAAAGAACATCTATAATACCTTTAATAGCTAATTTTGACATATTTTTAGAAACTTCATCCAAGGCTTCCACGTGTTCACAGTGTCTATGTTGTGTTGCAAAGCAAACACTGCAACAAAGGGCTTCATGATCTAAGCAAAAGACTTCAACATATTTACCTTGATGTAAATGACAGGGTTCATCCAGTTCCGGAAATTTTGGTTTGTCATCCTTGTCATCAAAACGCAATGCTGAGATTTTGTGTTTTTGTAGACTACCGACAATTTGATGAAGGTGTTTACAGGAAGTACATATAGCCTCTGCACAGTCATTGCACCAGGACTCCGCCTTACGTTTTTTGTTATCCCGTAAACAAATGGCACAGCATTTATCCTCACTCTTTTCTTCACCTAAATTCGTCAATGAATTCACTAGTATGTTGGTGGGAAAATGCTTTGCCCATTCATCCACGGCAATCGTTTCGTCTGGTCGACTTGTGACACGACGGCATACAGGACACTCAAAGTCGAACTTTTCTGGATCTTTCCCCACGGAAGCCCTAGATATATACGTCTGCAGGCATTTTTCACAAAAAGTATGTAAACAAAGTAAGCTTTTTGGTCTAATTATCTTTTCCAAACAAATTGGACAACTGTAGAACATTAGATTCTCTTTCCCTACATATGTCGCCATCATTTTTCAAAGGGCGTTTATCAAGGCAATGCATTGTGGTAGTTTCGATTTGTGTTGAAACCTGATAGCGCGATAGCGCATATCATAAAATTTAAAAGTATTAAGTGTAAAACAAATTTAAATATTTATCTTGTCAGCCTTTTTGGCAAATACTAGTACTAGAGAAAATAAGCCTCTTATAGTATATAACTATGTAACTAGTTTTGCAACGCTGCAGCATCAGTCATCTCTGAAAAGTTATTACTTTGTTTATTTATTAAATACCCTTTTGATGATCCAGGAATGTGAGAGAGGGCGTCGAGACTATTTATCTAAAACAAAAGTTTTCCACATCGACCTCTGACAAAAAATAAGGGGCATTTCACGAACCTTTGATCCCTTCTTTTTCTAAAAAAAAAATTAAATATTTGTCATATCATTTTCCTCCGACAGATGAATACTTTCCTAAGAATATTATTTTTTATTTCTGTCTGCTTCCACCACAAAAAAAAAGAATTTTGGTGTATGGTTATATTAATTTTTTTACACCATACCCATTCTAGGCCTGAAGGAACCGGGACGGGGTACAAAGGCCATACCCTCCTAATAATTTTGGCGATATACAGTATTCTATAGAAATCAAAGCCACTTAATTGATATGTCCCCTCAATATTAAAGTATGATTTTTTTGCTTGTCAAGGAATTTTTGTTCTGTAGTGCCCTCTCAAAGGAAAACGTAACCTTGTGTCCCCCTTTTTCCAATTTTTTTAAAAAAGTGATGCACCTACAAAACAGAATTCTTCATTATAAATCTTTGAATTGTATATAAGTTCAGTTATTTAGCAAAAAAAAGTTATATTTTCTGACCTCGCATATTTGATCCTGATCTTTTTAAATTTAATGTCAAACGACTTTAAATGTATTAAATAAGATAGTATTGTTTCAAAGTTCTTTTATGGTTAGTTCTCACGCAACATACTACGGCAAATTCAGGTTAATGGCTATCATATATATATATATATATATATATATATATATATATATATATATATATATATATATATAATATAATATAATATAATATATATATATATATATATATATATATATATATATATACTAGTCAAAATTTCTCAGTCCCCATCTGGGTTTTCGTCACTCACTGTTTCAGTATCATTTTATTTCAACTGGAGTTTTGTTTGACATTAAGAATAACCTCTCATTGAGTAGAAAAATAATTTTCTTTATCATTGTCTTTTGCATCGTTTAATTAGATAACACAAAACAATAAGTACTATACAAAATAAAAGTGTCAATTAATAACGTGTGTGTTCCCCATTAGCTCGAATAACTACTTGACATCTACTCCTCATAGAATTTACATCATTGTGCAAAAACCTCTGTGGAAGGTTATTCCAGGTGTTCACTACATCTTGTTCAAGCTCTGCTAAATTCTGTGGCTGCGGAAGTTGTCTAATTCTTCTGTCAATTTCGTCCCAAACATGTTCAATTAGATTGAGATCGGGACTGCATGGGGGCCAGTTAAGTACCCTGATGTTGTGATGATGTAGCATCTGTTGGGTCGTTCTTGCTGTATGGGGAGTTGCATTATCCTGCATTAGAATCATTCCACGATTTGCCTGGATGTGAGGTATGGTTGATGGCTGGAATACAAGATTCTGATACCTCACAGCATTTAGGTTCTGATGGATTGGTACAATCTGTGTTTTCGTGTGCAAAGATATCCCCGCCCAAACCATGACAGATCCTCCTCCAAACTGTCCTCGTTCCCCAATGCATGCATCTGTGTAACGCTCACCTCTTCTCCGGTAGACGCGGGTACGACCATCTGATCTTCTTAGATTGAATCTGGACTCGTCTGTAAAAAGCACCTGACCCCAGACCGCACGTGTAAACCTCAGATGACGTCTTGCCCATGCTAAACGCTGTTGCCTATGTCTTGCAGACAGCACCAACCCTACATAAGGCCTTCTTGCCCTTAGTCCTGCCTCCTTGAGCCTGTTCCTTACCGTCTGGTCACTGAGGGGCCCTCCATGTGTACGCCTTGCAGTTGCTCGTGCTGTCAAGCTGCCGCAAATGGGTAACTGATATGTACCGGTCTTGTTGACGGGTCGTAACGCGTCATTTGAGTCGTCATCGTAAATCCGTCACACTTCCTGTTCCGTTGAATTTTTGGACAAGTTTCTGGATTGTCTTATGGTCTCTGTTGAAATATCTTGCAACCTATAACAATGATTACGAAGAACAAGGTACGTTATTGGTCGATTTTCGCCGAACCTTGAAATATATTGATATTTACCTGACTCAAAAGTTGAGAACTTTATCTTTCTAACAATATATGACTTGCTTATATCTGATTGCATGTAATACATCGCAAATAATGATAAAAAGAAGTGCTTAAGCGATACTAACGTCAGTTCCGACGTTCGTTTTGCTAGACGACGTCAATGACGTACACGTCTCTCTTGCGTCCTATAAAGTTCTATATGTATAAAAATGATGTAAGATTGTCTGGTAAATAAAAATCAATCCATTCAAAGATATTTTTAAGAATTTCATTTGCAATTAAGTTTACATTTTGTCATTTGGGCCATGTCAGAGATGGGGGTGGGGATGACAGGATTTTGCATGCGTAATGCATATCGACTGCCTGCAATAGACATAAAACAACTACTCATTATTTAAAAATTTTCTGGGAGCGCTCGAGTTACTTTTTTCTTATTGCTCTCTCTCTCTCTCTCTCTCTCTTTCTCTCTCTCTCTCTCTCTCTCTCTCTCTCTCTCTCTCTCTCTCTCTCTCTCTCTCTCTCTCTCTTTTGATCTCAATATTTCATTAAATACACCGTTACCTATATACCTATGTACATCCTGTACATTGTTTTTTTTTTAAATTTTCTATAATTAATTTCTTTTTTAATTTTAACTATAAAGTTTAAATTTTAATTTCATTGCATTATTTACTCAATGTGATGTGATTACTTCATGTCAGAAAAAAAACTCTATTCGTAATTAGTATTAAACTTGTTTGTTACGTATATGTATACATATTTGTTCTCATTCTTTACTGATTACATATAAATCACAAAAAATTAAGGTTAGGGATAGCGGAGAATAATAAATGATGGTAGCTATAATACTTGAAATTAATAAACGCATATCAGAAAGACAACTTTAACATAGATGATACAAATAACAGAATTTCAAAAACAGTCAACATTCATTCCTCCGTTGGACTACGATTTATCCACAACACGTCGAGGTGGTCCGCCGTTTCCAACTTTTAATTATTTCGATTCACAGGTGGTGAAAAATCAAGTCCAACCGGGAATCGAACCCAGGGTCTCTGGCGTACCGTGCCAGCGTTCTAACCACTGAGCTACTGAGACCCGATATTTTGACTGACTTTCACGCACCTGTGAACCCGCTGACATATTTAAAAGATTACTCAACTCTAACCAGTACTTAATTTAGCGACACTAACGGAGTTTACCCGTGGTACGTCAATTATTTTCAAATATTTTTTAAATTCTTATTTTTAATAATTTATTTTTCATGTTTTCAATATAATTACTTTTCTTTATTTATTCTTTTTTTTTCTTTTTTGAATAAATAAATACTATGCACACACTACTCGAAAGTCAATCTTACACACACGTCAATTATTTGCATGAAATAAAACTTTCAGGTAATGGAACACGCCATAGGAATAAACACCTATTCTATATTGTTAGCAAGCCCGTGGTACTGCCCCCCTTTTTTCGAGACTACTTTTCTGCTGTTGATTTAGTATGGAATTTTTCCAAAAGCCGTTCCCCAGGCCCTTTTTTATGTTGCATAACGATCGATCCTAACCCTCCCCCCCTTCTTCCAATGTTTTAAACGCACCGACTTGCTGAAAGATGGCGGCTGTGTTGGCACAGGCGGCGCACTGGACTATGCTCAAATGTTCCGAACTTGAATTCACTCCAATTTAGAAACACTTGATTAATATATATCTACATCGTATCATGCCATGGGTTTCGTGTCTATTCTTTTTCACCTTGGAAATAAAATAGACACAAAACCCATGGCTTGCGACGGTAAATAGTATACATTGAAATGTTTTCCGGTCCTCAGTATATTTAAAAGACAGAAGCGGTTTTTTTAAGTATGTGAAGAAGTGAAGCTAAAAAATAGAGACCGGTCGAAAGAATCGGGAAGAAATCGTTGTCAAACTGAGATTGTCAGTGTGCTACTCCATTTGAAAGGAAAGACGAAAAAATACACTTAGAAATATAGGGGATATTTAATCATTATTTTTAGATACTTGCAGGTGTACAAACTTTGTGATCTGAGTATATTTTTATATTAAATCATATCTTAAAAATTAAGATATTTCACATATCTTTAATCGTTATGATGAATCAAAGAATTTAATTCTGGTAATTCAGGTACTTGTTTCGTATATAGAGCACCCCACCCCCAATTTCTCTTTCCACAAGGTTCGTAGCTCAATTTCAGGCACCCTCCACTTCAAGCTCGAATTTTATTAAATTATCAATCATTAATCTTCTTTAACATGAAATATAGTTCGCATTGAGAGGTTTTTTTTTCTTTTCTAATAAATCGTTTCAGACGTCCGTCGTCGAGCCTCTTTATTGTAAACTATTCATTTTATTCCTCGAAAATTACCTCAAGACATTCTAAGGACTTGACAGAAGATACATGGAAAACCCATTTCGTGGGGGGGGGGGGGGGGGTTGGTTATGAGAGGGTACTTTCCTACTTCAATTTTCTTCAGATACATGACTCCTCTTACCTTGTTACAAGGGGTCATTGTTTCCTTAGGGGAGGGGGTATTTTCCTAGGTTAATTTTTCGCTACTTTACATAGAAACTTTATAACGCTGAAAATTCAACGGAGGTGGGGGGGGGGGGGGGGGGGGGGGGCTCAGAGCCCCTTCTAGATTCGAGCATTATGATGTGGTGGATCTAATTTAAACGTGTATTATTTAAGTGTTTG